CTGAACTGTCCTGCTGCTCCAGAACAACTTCCTCTGGTCTAACATCTCCAGGTACCTCTGTGGTGTCTCCTGTATCGGGTACAGCCAGCGTGTCTTCAGACAGTATGTCTTTTAGGATCTGATTGAGGACTATGGCTTCTTCAGAGAGGCCAAGAAGGGAGTGTTTTAACAGAAAGCTATTTCGTTCTGAAGCGGTCTGCTCGTCATCTTCCATGTCTCCCCAAAACTCGATGAGATCTATATCATCCAGCTCAACAACTGGCCCTATTTGGAGAAAAGACAAGGCTGTTCCTATGTCCTGAAGCTACCAATATGGGAAATGGACCACTAACAAAAAACAATGAAGGGTCCAAATTGTCTATGTGCCTTGGGAGAGGGAGTTTCCATAGCCATACCATGAGGCACTGAGAGGTGTTGAATACAGGTGCCAGTTAAGGCACAGTGCGGAAGACACAGATCACACCCCCGTGACACCATCTGGCAGGAAGCTCCACTGCACTGAACAGGAACTACACAAGAGTACAGTGGAGGACTAGCTCCTTTGCAAATGGCCTAGCTGAACAGGTATGACCGAGGTGCAGGAGCAAGCACACAGGCAGAAAGTGCTGCTCCTAAAACAGCAACTACACCCTGGCATCCAAAGTGGCTCCCACCTGCAGACATTGTTTTAGCAGTTCCGCCAGACCAAACACTGCCTTTCAATACCTACTTTGACAGGTTTCCCACAGCAGCCAATTGCCCAGTAGTTCTTGTCATATTTTGTCAATAATCTGGCCTGCTTGCTTCCTGGGCATAAGTCTCACAGCACCATCCAAGCCCGACACTGGTTCTGAGCATGGACCGTGCACTTACATTGCCTTGGATTGCGGAATCCCTTCTTAGCAAGATCTGAGTAGTTGTTGTAGAAGCTCTCCAGTAAAGTTAAAACCCGTCGTCTGTCCAAGAGCCCCACCTGGGAAAAAGGAACACAGGCATGCTGTTAAACCCCACTGGATTCAGATCAGTTAGTTCATTTACGTACATACTGTCTTTCAGCTAAAAGCCCCTAAGGCGGTTTACAGTACAGTGAAATATAATCAAATAATTGAAAAGCTACAAAGACTCAATACACATTGAGTTTAAAAGAGTAAAAAAATATATCAATAAAATGCAATGGATTTTATGGTATTGGACCAGTGGGTAAGATTCTAGTCTTGGGTGCGGAAGCTGTGGATTTTAACCTGGCTTCTGTCTTTTTTTGATACTTTTGTATGGAGAAGGTGTCTGTGGCTCAGTATGTTTGTGCTAGAAGAACATGTCATGTTGTCAGTGAGATCAGACAGGGCAGTGGTGGAATGGGATGGCCATTTAGGAGAGAGGGTGTTAAAGGAGCAGCAGCTCTGAGGAACTGCCAAGGAGTTTCAAAGGAGGTAATCTTACGGAAACAAAGTACCCACATAAAATATTTGCAATATAAAGATGCACAAAAATGGTATTGCAAAAGTAACCTTTATTCATCGTAGATACTAGGTGCTTGCCCAAACAGAATGGTCTTCCAGTGTGATGCTGAAGATGAGGAAATCTAACATTCATTCATTCATTCATTCATTCATTCATTCATTCATTCATTCATTCATTCTTATTACGGTCAGAGACCCATTAAACAGCATACAGAATCAAAAGCAAAAAGCATTACAGAGAAGAGACATCATAAGGAACATTGAGGAGGTGCTTACGCTTTGTAAATGCAATAAAGAGAAATTTGGCAACATTCCTTGATATTACAGTGGATTTGTCCTCCAATAGATGTTTCAGCAAAAGTTCCTCAGAGTGGATTACTAATTGTACTAACATTCAGGTTACCCAGAGGTGTTGTGTATAGAAGAGGAATGCCTGCTTGGATTCTGTCATTCGTGGCCTTCCAGAGGCCATGTGGGTGTGCGCCAGTGTTCCCTCTAAGCTGAGTTAGTGTGAGCTAGCTCACAGTTTTTTAGCCTCTGGCTCACACATTTTTGCCTTAGCTCAGGAAGGATGGCTCCAGAGCAAACTGATTTATGCAGTAGCCAAATCGCTCATTCGCAATTTTAATGCCAGTAGCTCACAAAGTAGAATTTTTGCTCACAAGACTCCACAGCTTAGAGGGAACTTTGTGCACCTGCACATGCGTATAAAGGTGAAGGCCTTCTACTTTGCTTATCTGCAGAAGAGGTAGACTGTCTGAGTATATCGAGATTCCATTTAGCTGTCACACTGAGAGGTCTGTCCTCCATGGATTTGTCTGCTTAGAGCTGAAGCTTTTAAATGTGTCCCTCACCTTCCATGGCACCTGCTCTTTAGTAAATGCTCAGTTGCCATTCTTACTGCAGATGGGTTTGGAGCACACACCCCACCAGAAGCAATATAAATCATCTCGGAGGGACGGGGAAAGACCAACACATCTCACTGCCCCGAGAGACAGGGAACACACACAAGCATCCTTCGCTTCCAGGGAGAAAGAGAGGAAGGTGACAAACAAGAGGAGGAAACTGGGACAGAAACTGCAGGGGGAAACACATGGTGAAGGGAAAGGGAAGCAACCCCCCGAGGAATGCCACTTTGCAACTGTACAATGATTTAATGCTTGTTGTTATCTTCCAGTTCTGCCATCTCCATTGCACGTGCATGCTAGACAGTGGCTCATCTAGCACACAAACCCCCCTGGATCCAGCATTTGCGGCAACTACCAGCTTTCCAGTAAGGCTGCCAGCCAGTGAAATATGCCCACGCCGTTAACTGTGTCGCCTCCTGCCACGTTGCAGAAGAGGAACAAAGTGTTGAAGCTGGCAGGTAAGGGGGGCTGGCTGGATGACAACCAGGCCCCTGGCCGAAGGGGCGCAATGGGCCTGGGAAAGAGAGCCAGTTGTCTGGATGGACTGGGAGAAGGGACCCCACAGATCATGCAAGGACCATTCCCAGTTCAGACTTTTTAATGTGCAGTTCTCAACTCATTGCTTGGAGGGGCTCCACCTGTCCAACTTCTGGGCACAGAGTGCTTCTGTTGAAGAGGCCACTTTGAACTCCTATAATGGGGGAAGGGTGACCCTCCCCCAATAAAATGAAGAAGAAGAAGAAGAAGAAGAGAAGGAGGAAATTGGATTTATACCCCGTCCTTCACTACCCAAAGGTGTCTCAGAGCACCTTACAAACTCCTTCCCCTTCCCACAACAGACCCCCTGTGAGGTAGGCGGGGCTGAGAGAGAAGAAGAGATTGGATTTATACCCCGTCCTTCACTACCCAAAGGTGTCTCAGAGCACCTTACAAACTCCTTTCCCTTCCCCTTCCCACAACAGACCCCCTGTGAGGTAGGTGGGGCTGAGAGAGCTCTGACAGAAACGGCTCTTTTTCAAGAACAGCTCTTATCAGAACTATGGCTTGCCCAAGGTCATCCAGCCAGGTGCAAGTGGAGGAGTGGGGAATCAAACCCGGTTCTCCCAGATTAGAGTCTGCGCAATGAGGTCATCAATGGCAGTTGGCAACCTCTAGAACAGGCATGAAGCCTTGGCTTTATCTTTGCCTCCTTTCCTTGGCTCCCCATAGGGAGCCCAGAACAAAATACAGTGCTTTCCCTCTGCAGCTTCAGCAAAAAGTCTGGTTCACAAATCTGGTTATTTCTTCCTTTAACCCTTGCACTTTCTCCCTCTCTCAGCTTTCACTGCCACACCTGATCCTGCACATCCCCAGCTGGCTGTTGGGTTGGTGAATCAAGGAGATTCATAGTTTACTCCAAGGTATGAAGTGGAGTTTCTGGGGTTTGGACTGTGAGAGTGGGACATTGTCTAGCCCGGGAGTGTGGGCATCTTCAGAGCCTTTTTCAGGCACGGAAGGCAGCAGGGAAGGCCAGCATCAGGCCCTATGATTGGCAGACTGTATGCAGCATCTGGATTGGCCAGGCCCAGTATAAATACTCAGAGCTTGGGCTTCATTGCCATGATCCAGATGGGGCTCAAAGGCAGAGGTGTGATGCTGGCATGAACTTGTTAGGTGATGAGTCTGACAAGAATGAACCCATCTAAGCACACTTGCTCTTATTTGTCCGGATCACTGGGCATAAGGCTGGGTATGAATGAATGGAAGACCCTGCTTGGACAACCTGTTGTTGAACCAATAAAACTAATAAACTGGAACAACCTTGCTGAGCTTCAGCCAACAGAGAGCAGAGCAATAGGTCATGCAGTGACCACGGAGGTCTTTTATGGATTTGCTTTTCATTTCCCACTTTCATTTCCAGGGGGAAGGGGTGGGAACTGATGACAACACTGGGAAGGAAACCAGGTTAAAGCCTGAAAAAAAAACCACATAAACTTTCTGCTGCATTTTTGGAAACTGTTACCTACTCCTCATGTGATTAATGATCTACTTGTATTGGGGGTGCTTGTTTAAAGGGCTGGGGGGAAATGCCTCATGTTCCCCCAAAGCCAGTAATAAGAGCCAGGCCTTGTAGACAACAGACAGAATCATTTGAACTTCTTTCGGAGTGTTCATCATCCAGTGCGTCTGAGTCCTCGTGAACAGGCCCCTGAGAATATCTTGGAGTCAAAGTTTCTGGTTTTGACTTTCTTTAAGTAAAGTCATTTTCTTGGTGGAGGAATTTCGTCTAAAGTTCTCACAACCACAAAAGAGGCTTTTGAGGACTTCTAGTGGTGGATTGTCTTGCGTAACTTTCTACTTTTGTCTGTGGCAACCTGTGGGTGCGTTTGGAATTCTGATACTGGATGGTGGGTGCAACCACAAAGTGGCTACTGAAGGAGGTGGAGCCAACCACAAAATGTCAGGGGGTGAGGTTACAAAAAACTGTGATAGTAGCTCCTCAGCATTTCCGGCAGAAGCTCTGCTTAATGGGATGCCTTCAAAAATTACATTGTCTAAAGTGTGTTTTTGCACATGCACAAAATAAATATGCCTATTGAACTGGCTAAACCCCCTCTCATCTGGCAGTGTCTGTCTTCATCATGCGGGCGTCTAACACACTTATGCAAAAGGAAGAGGGGATTTTTTTGTCTCCTGGCCGTCTCCTTTGCACGATTCCTTCTCTTGTGAGCCCCACAGTTTTTAACCAGCACTATTAATTTGAACAAATACAGTCGGCGCTAAAGTGCTGCTGAGAGCTCCTTGAGTGTGTGTACACTAAGAGAGAGATTCCGGACAGATTTCGACAGGAACATTTTAAAAAGTGAACAAAATGTGATGATGTGTTGTCGACTTCTGCCCGAATTATTAAAAATACAATATTAAAAAAACTGGGATAATCTGATATTTTCAGTGGAAGTTCCAGTTAGATGCATTCAGCATTTTACCTGTGCAGCCTAATCTTGTTTAGTCAGAATCCAAGTCCCACTGTGTTTTTTAGAATTGTCTCTTCATTATTTGCACAGGTAAAATACTTTACATAAACCCACTGTCAGCATTATACTATAAATACTATAAATTATACTATAAATACCAAAAACTCAAAGAGCTGCACTTGGCCCCCTCTTTCTAATGCCAGGAAGAGTATTGGTGGGTGCCATGGCACCTATGGGCAATGTGCTGGGGACTCCTCGTCTATGGCGTTTTGTTTTTGTCATCCAGTTGGGTAGTTTCGGAGCTGTGGTGGCTCAAGTGGTTAAGACGCTGAACTGCAGGCTGTGGAAGGTCGGTAGTTCAGCAGTTCGAGACCCGGGTGCCGCATGACGGAGTGAGCTCCCGTCTCTAGTTCCAGCTCCTGCCACCCTAGCAGTTCAAAAGCAAGAAATTGCAAGTAGATAAATAGGTACCACTTCGGTGGGAAGGTAACAGCATTCCGTGCGCCTCGGTGTTTAGTCATGCTGGCTACATGACCACGGAAACGTCTTCGGACAGTGCTGGCTCTTCGTCTTTGAAACGGAGATGAGCACTGCAACCCTAGAGTCGGACTCGACTGGCTTTCGAGCAAGGGAAACCTTTACCTTTACCTGGGTAGTTTCATTTCTGTTTATTTTATTACCATCTTCCCTTGCCCAATGAAAAGTCAACTTAGTCTGTAGGACTAGAAAGAAGCATTCAGGACATGGATTATAATGCTATCAGACTGGGGGCAGGGTTGTATTCCTAGAGCCCTGAGAAGATGGTGGGCTAGAATCACTGCAGACCTTTTCGGGGGATTCATACAGCTACCTTTCCACAGTCGCAGTCTAGGAAGAGCTGGAGAAAGGTCTTCCTGCACATGTCATGTCTGATGATCTCTCGTGCATCATTGGCACATTGGAAGAGGTGCTTCAGCAGCTCCTGGAACATGTCGCTGGTTAAGTTTTTGATGTAAGTAAAAACATACTGTGAAGGGGAGAAGAAGGGCAAAACAGTTTAGTCCTCTTTGCCACCTGCCTTTCTCAGCTTTCTTGGCACACCGAGGGCCCTGACAATGAAGTCGCTGGCAGGGACGCTGTCAAATGTCACAGTGCCACCCTAAAAACCTCCATTTGCTTTCACCCTTCTCTGCTGCCAGTCACCCTATGCACTGACAGTCACGTTTCCTTCTCAAAGGTAGCCTGGTTACTCAAACTGAAGCCAGCTATTACTGAATCACCAAGAATGTTATTCGCTGATTTATTTCGCCTCGCTTCTTGGCATACGGTGCCCCTCCCCAAGCATTTGAGAGTGGCATATTATAAGAGTGAACTAAAATACTATATCATTACAAAACAAAGCTAAAGAATGACCTATAATTGCACAAATCCTCAGGTTATCAGGATCGAATCCAAAACCAGCCTACACTAATCTAAAAGACAGTCCAAACAGGCTGCAAGGTCCTGTCCAAACAGGCTGCAGTTGTGCCTCACAAGGAGAACGCTGCATCTCAGTGCTGCCACTGAAAAGGCCCCCTCGGACATTGCCACCTCCTTAATCTCACTTGGGTAGCTTCTGTGTCTCGGTGGGCATATGGCTTGCCAGGGCTCTTTTTGTAGAAAAAGCCCAGCAGGAACATATTAGCATAATAGGCCACACCCAACAGCAGGAACTCATTAGCATATTGGGCCACACCCCTGACAGCACAGCTTATTAGCACATTAGACCGCACCCCCATGTTACCAGAAGTGTGCTCATCCAGCCACACCTACCTTTTGCTTGTTATTCTGATTACCTTGTTTATTGTCAAAACCCAGGGCCTTTTTTTGTAGCAGGAACTTCTTTGCATGTTAGGGCACACACCCCTAATGTAGCCAATCCTAATGGAGTTTCTGCTGTTGGGTGTGGCCTATTATGCTAATGAGTTCCTGCTGGGCGTGGCCAACTTGGGAGCCAGCCGGAACTCCGTTCCTGTGCGTTCCTCCCCCAAAATAGCCCTGTGGCTTGCTTTTTACATCTTTTAGGCCTAGGATTGTATGTGCAGCCCATTTTATCTGGCATTAATTAGATGTATTAGATGTTTTTATTCTCTGGTGGGTATTATTGGGCTGTTTTATATCTCCTTTATTTAATGTTTCTCTTTTGTTATTAGTATTGCTCTTGTTAGTCATCTCAGAGCAAATTGTAGAGGCACAAGGTGTAAATACTCCAAGCAAACAAACAATTTCCTTTCTGTTCTTTGGCGGCTGAGTTCTACATTATCTATATTCACATGACCTGAGACGCTGGTGGCAACAGCTTTGGGGATAACTGCAAATCATTATGGATCCCATTTTTAGAAAGGGGACAAAAGGAAGTGACTTTGGAAACTAGCTTCAACTAATCTTCTGACACTGAGAACTGCTATTCAAGGGAGATTTATTTGGAGCTCGGGTCAGGGAGGTACTTTAAGCACCAGATTTATCACCGTGTGAGTTTTTAATGGGTTAAAAGAGACGGGCATTGTAAAAAGATGGTCTGCATAGTGTAAAGAGCTTGAACTGTCAAGAAGGAGCTACAGTCCCAGCCTCTGGGCTGAATTAGTACAGCCGGTTTCTCCATTCTGCCAATGTGGGTGGGAGGAAAAACACACCATACAATACTATGGCATGGGTGTGCATGAAATAAAGGCCGGGGATCCCTACCATTTTCTTTCCTTTTTTTCCTTTTTATTGTTTTTATAATGCAAAAACATTTCATACAACACATACTTGCAAGTTCTAAGTTCCTATACATCACAATTAATATACTATCAGTTTGACAACTAGCCAAGCACCATACAGCCCTATTACAGTCCCCTGAGGTTCCCTGCTACCTCCTATAAATATAACCAACAATGGTAAGCCTGATTAGCCGGGAGTATATCATTCTTTACCATATAGTCTAACGCTGGGGCCCAAATCCTAACAAATTTAGTGTAAGTAGGAGTATTACTGTTATTCGCTCTCATCAGGGAGTCCGAAAATTTTAGCCATCACGAACTGATCCCATGTTGTGGCCGCTTGATTTCTATGCCTCTGTGGAGTGCCATGGCTGACAGCAAGGAAGACTGGTAGCAAACAGTGGGGCTTTTAACCAGCCACCCATAGGCAAACAACTCCCCTTGAGCTCCTGTAGGCCAGCCCTGCCTATAAAAAAACCCCTCCGTCACTCATGATAGTAACATGGAAGGCTAGCTAATACTGGGAACAGAATGCTGTTCCAAGATGGAGATAAAGTCATAAGACTGAGAGGCAGCCCGCCTCTGAATACCCACTCCAAGACAATGAGAGTATGATGTTGTCTTTACGGCCTGCCTGCCAAACTTCCCAGAAGCATCTGGCGGGCTATTGCTGGAAACAGCATGGTTGGTCCCTTGGAGGGCTACTGTGGCACCCTAAAGTAGACTCACACCCTTCCACATCCTGTGAAGTCAGGGGTCATCTTAAGTTGTCAGGTCCTCATCTCAGCCACACACTCACATCTCAGCAGTCTCCCGTATGGGAATGTTACTGCCTATCTCGTTCAATTGTTTCTTCCCTTATGCTTTTTAGATATAATATAATGCTAATCTTATAGCATAATCTTATATATGATCTTGATTTTATAAGGATATTGGGTTTTAACTTGTGAATCACATTGAGGATGTTGTAACTTTTGCTGTTTGTTGTTATACTTTATGGTTGAATACAATTAAAATGTTCTGGTTAAAAAAACAACAACATTGAGGACGTTTGGCTGGAAAGGCAGTCTAGAAATTCATGATAAATAAAATCTAACAAAGCTGATGACGGAGAATATAGGCAAAGTATTTTATACAGAATACCATAATAATAAGTTTTACTGGTTTTATGTGAGCCGCCCTGAGCCTGCTTTGGCGGGGAGGGCAGGGTAAAAGTCAAAATAAATAATAATAATAATAATAATAATAATGGCAGGGTAAAAGTCAAAATAAATAATAATAATAATAATAATAATAATAATAATAATAATAATAATAATAATAATAATAATAATAATACACAGAATGAATTAGACATTAAAATTGGGCTGGGGCCCAGAGCATATTCTGTTCCATTATAGATGTTGTGTTTTCGGCCATAAACTTTATATGTTACTTACACTTGTACTTGCTCGGTTTTTAATGTCAACCCTTTAATGTTGTGTTAACGGTTTACTAATTTTTTAACAATTTTTAATCTGTTGGTGTTTTATCATATTTTACTTGTAAGCCACCTAAGCAGTTTTCCTGGAAAAGTGGCATAAAAATGTCCTAACTTTTTGCTTACCTTTAAAGCCCTAAATGGTCTGGGACCATCATATCTGTGGGACTGCCTCTTCCTATATGCCCCTTTTCAGCTCTGGCCCCAGCCAGGTGGAACTCTCTTCCCATTCATTCATTCATTCAGTCAGTTTCTGTTCTGCTGTCCCTCACAGTCCTGGGGCTTAGAGCAAATTTGTTGTTCAGTCGCACAGTCGAGTCCGACTCTTCGCGACCCCATGGACCAGATCACGCCAGGCCTTCCTGTCTTCCGCCGTCCTCTGAAGTTGGCTCAATTTCATGTTCGTTGCATCGATGACACTGTCCAACCATCTCATCCTTTGCCGTCCCCGTCTTCTTTGACTTTCAATCTTTCCCAGCATCAGGGTCTTCTCCAGTGAGTGCTCCCTTCTCATTGGGTGGCCAAAGTATTTGAGCTTCAGTTTCATTATCTGGCCTTCCAGGGAACAGTCAGGGTTGATTTCTTTTACGATTGACTGATTTGATCTCCTTGCAGTCCAAGGGACTCTCAAGAGCAAATTATAACACATAATAAACCATTTTGAGTGCAATTAAAATCAATAAAATGCAATTTCAGAAATTAATCAGATGGCATATAAACTCTGGTGGCGGGGGGGGGGGGGGGGAGGGAATCCGGAAGCAGAAGGCTAAATAGGAACTCTCCTGTCTCATCCATAGGCTTGGCGAAACAGTTTCATTTTGCAGGCCCTGCAGAATTGAGCCAAGTGGTGGTCCCGGACTTGCTGAATCTGGACCAGAGCACCCAACTCCACGACACGGTTGGTTACATCTTGGTGCGCACGGGAGGGTTTTGCTGGCCTTGGGCCTGGTCATCTTCTGAAGCTTGGACTTCCCAGACAAGCTGGGGACTGTAGCCTTCCTCTTTGGCATGGTGGGAAGTCTGGTGTGCCTCCCAGCCATGTTCCTCTTCCAAGAACCAGTCATGCCTGTGTATTTCCTGAGATGGGCTTGCGTGGTAGCAATCAGCATGCTCACCTTGCTGTCTTTTCTGTGCACCAGCAATGCGGCAATGAAAGTCCACCCAGCCCTGGTGTGCGCCATCCTGCACTCCAAAGTGGTAGTGACCTTCGCAGTGCAATACTATGTGTGTTAGGAAGCAGTGCCACACACAGTGAGATCCTAGTGAGATCTGGGCCCTGCGGGATTTAGCTCAGTTTTTAATTTAATTTAATTTAATTTAATTTAACATTCAGCTTCTATACCGCTCAGACCCGGAGGTCTCAGAGCGGTTTACAATTGTGCTGCAAGTGCAGATTAATCCTAATACAATGGCCACATATTCCAGGGGGTGGGGCTGCCTACCGGCACCCGGGTGGGTTCGCTGTTCCCGGCTCTCTTTCCTCGGTGGTCCACTGGCGTCGGCGCCCATTCGCGGCCAGTCCTTCTCAGCTTTTTCTGCTATCTTCTTGGCGCACGGCCCGTGGTAGCCTCGGCCCGGCTGTGTCCGCATTCGGCTCCGCCGCGCCTGCGCCGCTCACGTTGCCGTGCGCTCCTCCATCGCTTTGCCTCCACTGCCATCGAGCGCCGGACACCGAGTGCTGGATGCTGTCGTTCCACCGGCCACCAGGGATCGCCGCACTGCACCGCCACACCGCCGTCGCCGCCACCATCGCCGCTGCTGAAGTTCCCACCACGTCCCCACTTGGAGGAGGGTGCCCCCTACCCT